TGGTGCTGTCATAATGTGGTTACATATTTAACTCTTCAATCCGTGCTTGTGACTTGCCCTGAAAACTGAACTGGTGTCAGTAGTGTCAAGGTAAAGTAGGAGCCTGTGACATGATCGCGGATATGGGCTTGTCCAAGTAACCTTTACCCTACAAGCACAAATTGCCTTTTTTAACAGCTCGACATGTTCGGGCGATATAGTAGGGTCCAATTACCTTCCATCGGCGTTTGCTTCCATCAATTCATTTCACTCAAAATAGCTTGCACCCCAAATCAAAATCCTCCGAATTCACCTCCAAAATGGTCCATAAACTGTCATGGCTGGGCTTGAGATCAAGTGAGAATCCAAGATTCCAATAATGATGATAAGGTTTACTCACATTGGGGAAGAAAAGAGAAATTTCCCAGTCAAATCAGAAACAGTCTTTGTCATGAAGCGCCATGTCACCATCTTGTTTAAATAGCAATTTGAACTGTATGTTAATGTTCCAGAGATATGACATCACGCCTTCAGTGGATTCCCTGCTAAATTTGACTTTTTGGGAGATGCTATCTTTTTCTGATGGCTAATAAACCAGTGTAAGGGGAAATTTGTAATGTCCATGCATGGAGCTCTAGTCTCTTACCAAATTGGGCCTCATAATTGCATAAAAACATGTTCAACTCTCATTTTATGGTAATTTGAATGTCTGATATGGTATCTTGAGTCATATGCATGCACATCGATAGGGCCCCTCAAAACAACCCATGTCTTCCATCGCTGTCATTTACATGTGTGAAATGGATGTAAATGGCTGTGGAGTGTTGTAAGTACCTTTATAATGCCATAACGAGCTGCACTTTTTTCAATTCACCGAACTGGTAATATATATATTGAATTCACCTCTTTGTGAGCTGAACAGTTGAGACAAATGGATCCATCCTAGCCCTAGCCTACGATGATTGGTGGTGATTGGGAAAAGAAATGACACAGACTGAATTTCCATGTCAGTTGGACTCTTGTGGGTTGATTTGTTCCTTGCTCTATGGCTCGAGCATCGCAGTATTTTCTCCAAATTAGGACTGCCTTGTGCCTCCTCCTGGTGAAATTCATTTTTTAACAAGGCAACCAGAATCCCGCAATCAAGGTTTCTTTCAATATGGAGGAAGAAGAAAACTAGTCGGGGTTCCCCAACCAGACTGTTAATCGTCCGATAGAGTAGGAATCTTTATTTTCATGAGTAAACGAAGCACTGATGTATCTTCTGCCGCTGGTGTAATCACAATGTAAACATGTTCTGCTTGCACACAATTTGTGTATAGTTATCACATGGCACTGACTGTATCATGTTATAAATGAAGCTTAGAGCTTTAAGTTCAGCATGATCATCATGATGAGGCAGGCCACCAGTCGACATGTAGGCTGCCATGCCGTGATATCATAGAGTATTATTTGCCATACCTGGCTCATACATATTCATAGTTGAGACAGAACCAGATTCTCTCCATCTCGGCCATGTTTCTCACTGGTCGATTCATTATCACATTCACGTCAGTCATTAGGCTTACTGTTGCTATTTAGTGTTTATCAAGCATGCATGCGGGGATCCACTCCCACGTCAAATATAAACTGAAATAAACTGTTGCCTGCTCAACTGTGGGAAAGGTTTACTTCATGTATGGGGGCTTTTCAAGTCATCTTGGAACTGTCATTTGGGTGAAGTGCGTACACGCCCACAAGAATTGCCCTAGCTAGCTACTCATGGAAAGATGCTGGCACATGGAACAGTTGATCAGTACCTCAGAATAATGCATGATATTGTAACCACTGACAGTTTGATGTTAACTCCCTCGTTATTGGAGGTTGATAAACTACAGGTGCAGCAGTTCCCTCAGCTTTGCCTCCGGAACTAATATGTCAACTTCCAGGTGTGAGGGTAGATAAAAATCGACCATCCCTGTTGCATTATAACCATGTTATACATGTACAGCCTGTACCTGTGTTTGTGTTCATGTATTGAATGCTTAGTGTACTCTGTACAGAGCCTAGAGGCCTGCACCATCAGTCTAATGACATACACTGAAACTCTGTAAGCTCTGTGAGTGGTCCATATTCAATCAACAGGTTAACTGATAGGGCAGGCCTTTAAGTGTAGCTGCATTGAATTTTTGTCAGACCATTTATCTTCAACTCTGTACTCTTCTTCCATGTATGAAAACCCTTTCACCTTCCTTTTCATTTAAGTGCATGAAAGTGTACTTTTTTAAACACTCACAATTACCCATGGATGCTACCCTGGACATTTAGGGGCACTCTTGCTGTGATGTCATCCATTGAAGACATTGTAACACTGGATAGGTTGTTCAAGTAAAATTGTGAACCCTGGATTTATTCACTGAAAACATTTTTGAGAAAGGGATCAATGCTATTGCTATGCACCTAAGCAAGAATGAGTCAGCAAAGAAGAAATTTAGTCCAGGAAAATCTACAAAAATGCAGGACTTTTTGCGTAGAAACCAATGTAACATTCTTCCTGCAGTGACATCACAGTTTTGCTCATGAAAATATGGAAATTCTTCTCAGCATAAAAACCAAAGAGGCAGTGAAATACCCTTTGATACAGTAAAACAAAAGTTGGAATAAGTTTATCTGAGACACAAAGGTACATGTTGGCCCTGTTGAAGGTTTGTATTAAAACAAGTTGATTGTACATGTAGCTACCGATCAAAAACTGGTACACTGTACATGCATGACTTCCACCCGTGCTTGGCACTATCAAGTCACTGAGTTGTACAGTAGAGTAAGTACATTTTGCCTGTGTTGGCCAAGAATTTGTGTCTTTGAAAGAATTACCATGTAATCCATTCTGGCTAGAGGGACAGCTCTGTCTGATTTTTCAGCTTCAAGTAGTGTAAGAGCTGAAAGGTTACTGGCCATGCTTCTTGTTATTGTCATGTTACCACGTAATTTCCCATAAAATCCTTTCTGTGAATTGATCACACCATGTATATTGATACATTGCAGGTAGTACACGTAGGCCTTTTACCATAAATGCGGAATTTTGTTTTTAAAAAAATCCAATGTCAGCACCACTACTATCATTCAGGATTGTTTAGCCTCATTTTTAATTTCAGGCAAATCAAAGTTTAACATGTTCAAGGAAGTTTTCAGTCTGTCAGTATAATAATAAATAAAAAATAATATTTAGGTATAAATAATGTTTAAGTGGTACATGTACGTCCACAGTTTGATGGAACTTGGAGAATTCAGGACTTTTTTGATTGATAATTGAAATTCTACGACTGTGTACAGTACTTAAGGTGTTTGATACATGACCATACAATGATGGCCAAGCTGGGGATTTCTTTGCATATTTTTTATGCAGTGTCTGAGCTCTATCACATGGGTTTCACTGAACCAAGAAAGATTATTTTTGTGTATTTTACACTTTACAGTGCATGTCACTGATTTCAGATGGCCTTGGATGGTTTGTCACCCTCATTAAAATGATTGATATTGTGTTTTACTGTTCAAATCTGTTTTGATTTTCAACTCTATACATGTTACAATTATTAATTTAAAAACAGCTTATTAAAAACCAACTAACCAAACAAAAAGCAAACCGAGGAAACATAAGGAAATGTGGTTCAAAGAGAGGCCTCAAAATTTACATTTTGAGCCAGTTTTCCTGGAATGATAGGTGGGCACAAAAATCTTCCGGACTTGAAGTCCATCTTGATGTCAGCTGCAGTGTATTCATCATTTATTCATCAGCATCTCTCTGGACATGTACACATACACTGTACGTATAGGTACATGTACTTCTGCATTCCTCTGTGTTACTTGAAATGAAGTGATGTCAAGTAAATCTATATCTCCCCATTTTCTCCATGTAGGAGGAAATAGTTATTATAGACATTGTAACAAGGGAAAAAGAAGTCAAAGGCATACATGTTACACGTATGTCTCCTGAAATTTGTGCTGCTAGTCTTTTTTCTAAAAACAAAACAAAAAGTTCGTTAGGCATAATGTTTGACCCTAAAGGAAAAATAAAAAAAGTTCCCTAAAGACCTTGAAAAGATTAATAACTACATTACAAAACATTAGAAATGGAGGAAGGAGAAATAAAAGGTGGAAAAAATCTTAAATCCTGTTAAAATAGGAAAAATATGCCTAAAGTACACGTGCCCTATCACAACTTAACCCTAACCCCCTAGGGACCATTGAAACCCTGCATAACCTTGTTGGGTTCAACAGCCTGTGTGAAGTAATTACTCTTCAAATGCTGTTGAGCTAATAAACACAAGTTGTGCATGTAATTTACACATGCGGCATGGACTTGATTTGAAAAATCTATACAAATGCACAAGTTTATATGTTTATAGTGCATGTAATGCTTGAATAACTTACCACATTGCAGGTGTGTAATATAATTGCAATGAAAGTGTGAATATGTACTGCAACATACACGTGCATGTGCCCGACTTCCCAGTTCTAAACCACTCAGTAATAAAGGCAGGGGTGCAGTCTGTTGAAAGTTTTCTGTGCACCCAGCTGAGTCAAGTTACTCCCACTGATACCTGTTCTGTTATAGGGTACTTCTAAGTCCCTCTGTTTTGAGGCTGGGTCCATCTAGCGGTAGTTTGGCAGCAAGACAGTTTTGCCAAGTGGGTACTTGTACCTGGAGTCAGTTATTTGAGTGCCCTGTGCATTGTACCAGTATGAATGTGCAGATTATACGTCAGATAATGGGGTTTTGAGGTGGGTTCGTTTTGTATCCTGAATGAGTTCATTAGGCTATCTGTGGGATCCCAATGGCAATATAGATTGGGCCGTACAATTAGCTGTATGATGTCACTCATGTACATGTACATGTACTGTACATGTACATGTACATGTACTGTACATGTACATGTACATGTATGTCGTAGTAAGCAGGTGTACAACGTAATGCACACTGTACATGTACTGTACATGTACTGCACTGTGCACGACAAAGACATACTGTACATGTACTGTACTATACCTGTACATGTGTGCATAATACTGCCAAGGACATTTGGGTTGACCTTTGTCCTATTTTTGTCAATGCACAAGCACTTTGTGCGCAAGCGGCGTGATGCACTGCTGGATATTCATGTATAATCTGGCAGGTTCCACCTCCTTCCTGAATATTCAGTTTTGCCCAATTTTATCCAAAATGGTTAATTAATGCATAACAAATTAATATTTTTAAGAAATGTAAATTGAAAGTTGTAGCATTTCTGTCACAGTTTTGACTGCAGTGAAAATGAAACATGCTTCTGATCTGTCTATTAACAATTTTTTTCTGACCAAGTTGACCATCATGATCAGGAATATTACAGGGATATGAATACCTCAGGAAAGTAAAGCTCTGTATCGCTTCTCGGCCTTTTGGCTAAGATCATGTGTAGTATCTGTTCTTTTCAGCTTAATATCTGAAACGCTGCTCATCGAGCAGCCAGTATATTAAACTGATTTTTGGATCTGGGCCATGGAATAGGGGCTTGCCTCGTCCTGGCCACGGGTTGGCCCGGTATTGCACTACATCCGGGATTCGGCCCACTCCCCTTCATGGGGAAATTTTGAAAGCAAAGATAGATATTCAACTGTTTGACATAGTCCGAAGTGTTTTTCGTGTGCCTGATTCCTGCTGTTGTATGTATCAGTGAATTGTGTGACGAAATATTGATCCTAATGGCTACTCTGTCTTTGGTGTAAGGTAAAAATATCTTTGTAAAAGTTGCCTCACCACTTTTATTGGAAGAGGAAGCTATTAAAACAAATAACAAAGACTCTTGTCTTGGTTAATTTCTAGGGAAGAGTTGCCAGGTGTTCAAAACTTACGGGCAGTGTTGTACACAAATGTAGTGGTTTATGTGCATGCTTGGAAAACACTGCAAATGGAAGGGGTTTGTGTGTTGAAGTACATGTAGGTTTGATGTTGACCCTGTGTTTTCCCCAAGATCTCAACGATGCTCTTACTGATCATGTGAATGATCAAGCGCTTTTACACATTTTTTTCAAACCTTCCTTTTTTTCATTCAAACCTTTAAGTATCAAGCATTTTGTGCTATATTTCTTGTTTCATGAACAGTCTGGCAGCATCCTTATGTCAACATCTTCAAGCATTTGAGTGTCTCAGAATGGAAGAAATCCACCAAAGAAGGAGAGGTTGTCGCCGTCATGGCAAGTTATCATTTCTATTTTACTGGTGTATAACTGTTTCACATTAGCAAATCCTGTATTGCCTTGTTTCAGACTTATCCATGACACCTGGAAGGACAAAACCCTTCAACATGAAATATATAATGTCACCCCCTGATGTAGTTTTCCACAATCCTTCAGAATCCTTCATTATGCACTGAAAGAGATGGCTCAAATTAAATTTTCACCCATTATCACTTATTGTATTCACTGCAGATAAACCAATGCATTTCCAGTTCTGAATCCCAGTTCCCAAGCTGTGCATAATTTGCTTTTTTGGCCCGGGAGTTTTCCCCTTGATCAACATACAAGGAAAAAATGGACACGCTTACTTGGGTTTGACTTGAACCCATGACCTCCTGCTTACTAACGTGTGCTAGGTGCCTTAGGGCTGAGTCAATTTGAATAATTCAATATCTGAATATTCGGTCACACTGACCAGCAGATTGTTGATGAACAAACCATATACAAAATCAGTTGCAGTAACACACACAATTGCACATTGTGATCAATATGATAGCTTCTCACATATAGGAGTATCTCCAGCCTCGATTTAGCACGATTTAAGAGATGAACAATACTTCATGCCCTTTTGAAAATTTCTATTCCTTTTAAATTGTTCAATGAATAATTTACTTTCTAAACTGTTATAAGATTTCTGACACTTTTCATTTGAATCTGCTCGAAACAAGCCTCCATAACGCAATTTTTCTCACTTAAAACAAAAGAAAATTTCCCCTTTCTTTTCATGAATTTTCCCTTCGAATATTCAAATTAAAAAAGCGATATCCAGATATTTGACAATTGATTGAATATTCGGTCATTCAGCACAGCCCTAAGATGCCTCACCACTGGACCAGTCAATGGAGGAACTGCTGGTACTGCACCAAACATTTTCTCAAGACATCTTATGCCTCTCACTTTCACATCTTATAAATACATAGAGTTTCATCAGTTTTGCCTGTGCCGCGCTTGTTCCACTCGTAGGACAAAACTCTCAAGGCCACTGTCTTCCGCATCACGGGTGCCATCCCCGCCGGCAACTACATCCAGCTGCCCCAGACCCCCAGCCAGTCCCTGGGGCTGACCGGCCGCTACCTCTACCTCCTCTTCAAGGCTGTCCCCACCAAGTACTTTGTGGTGCACCTAGACGTAGCCACCGAGGAGGGCCTGGTGGTCCGTATCTCCTTCTCCAACCTCTTCCGGGAGTTCAAGTCCACCTCCACCTGGTTGCAGTTCCCGTTTGTCTGTCAACCCTGGAAGGGCTCAGTGGAGGGGATCACTCGGAAGACTGCTAGGCAAGGTGAACTAAGAGGTTTGCAGTTAAATGTAGGCATACAAGTTTTCCTCGGATCAGCTGCCAGATTTCCTCGTTTTTCACCTCACATTGAAAAAAATTGAATACTGAAAAACGCGGTGCAAAGTCTTGTAGAGATTAGAATTTCCTCGTTTTTTTTGTCGGAGCCCAAGTTGCATGCCTGAAAATGACTTTATTTAATAAGTGCCACGCTGACAATATCCTGGGTCGTAGTTCACTTTTTCACCCTTCCAGATTCTGTGCCCAGGATATACATGTATAATCAAAAGTTGTTGGATCTGGGCCCCAGCTGTGTTCACAATTGGCCATCCTTACCATCCATTGCCATCGGTATAATTCAAATGTAATCCAAGACTATTAGCATACAGGGGTCAAATACAAACATCTCCTTGGCATGGAAATGTTTACCACGCAAATTCAGGGTTACCAGCCAGAATAACATTCACTGTATACATGTACATCTTGCAACTGGTTCTCTGCTGATTCTTGCTCATAGCACATACATATGCTGAGAATTATTATCTGCCTAACAGCTCAATTAGCCTGTTCCTTACCCCTAACTCCCCAGGGTGATTTACAAGCAACCTTCCACATCATGAAACTCAACACCATGTGTAGTAAACCTTACACATAAACAGTTGGACAGTTTATTTCTGGTATGCCTAATCCCACATCAAACACAGCCAGAATATTAATGCTCATTCTAACAAATTCTAACAAACCCTGGTGTTGGAGTTTGGCTGGTTTGAGATCATTGGGGTTTTAATGTCTAGTATATTGCTTCTAAACTAAATGGTACCCTCAACTCGGGTCTCTGTCCCATAGCCTTCCTCAGTTGCCTGACTCACCAACTTTCTTTTTTGCCAGATATCAAAGGCTTTCCTCCTTGACATTCTGCAGCATCTTTTCCAAATCAGCAGGTCATCCTACGACCAGTCTCTGTCTCAAAACATAACCCCTCTTCCTCACTCAGAGAAATGTTTTTCTTTCCCAGATATTCAAGGTCCTGCTCCCGCCAGCACCAGATGGACGGTCCTTCTCCTGGACTTCCAGTACATCCTGTCCATGTACCTCAACCGCAAGTACTCCCACCTCAAGTCGGTCCGCCTCTGTGCCAACCTCCTGGTCAAGAACCTCTTCACCAGCGACACCCAATACGAGGCGGGGCTCAGCCTGCGCCAGGCCAGGGAGGCGGGCATGATTGCCAAGGGCGTGGCCCCATTGCCCAGGGAGATGGCCTTCCCGGTGCCAAAGGGTAGCCAGTGGCACGATCTCTATGATTATATCAGGTGGGTTAAAATGACGAGCGGGAAGAGGAGTTTAAAAATGTAAAGTAAAAGGAGTTTGTTATTTTGCGTCAAATATTCTCACAGGACAAAGTTGTTAGTTTATTAGTTTTTGAAATGCAAGAAGAATGCAAACACGGTTTGGAAAATCCAACGCATTTTGTCATCGTTGATTCCTAAAATGCTCTTAACTTTGGATACGATCTTTACTTGAAAAATGTGCATAGATGGAAATGTGTGGAACTTCAGGGAGACCTCTGAGATTGGGCAAGGTGCCCTAGTTTGGATAGTACCCTGGACCTATTCCAGTGGTTGCAGATCCAAATTCTGATTCTCCGTGTTATTAATAGCCTTAACAGTCCCAAATCCTCATTTTTCAATATTATTTTACATAAATCCTTGGGGGTTAGAGTTAAGCAAAGAAAAAAGAGTAGACTGAATAGAAACCAAGCTTAGAAGAAAGAGGTAGTTGTTTTATGATGTATAGCATTAACGTCTACTATAGATTTGAACTTCTTCAAAGTTTGTCATTAAAACCTCTTTGTATTATGGTGTAAGACTTTGTTACAATTATCCACGAAAACGTTCAATTTGAAACTTGCAAACTAACAAGTGCTGCCCAATATTTTCAACAATCCAAATAAGCCTCGCATCTCTGTGTCCCTAGATTTCCAGCAGCAGCTAGCCGGGTTCCTTTTGACTCAATCCAGATGCACAGTCCCACACCAATGAAAGGAGGCCAGGAGCCAGGCAAGATGAGCCCAGAGCGGGTGGCTCCCAAAACTATCCATGTAAGTGTCCAATTCCCAGCGATCCACCCGTCAAAAGTATGGTCATGATTTAAGAAACCAAAGAAAGTGATCTGCACTCTTTTTTGTCTTGTAGGCTGCTAAAGACGTGAACTCCAAGTTTTCGGATATCAACAAGTTGACGAATCCGAAGAGGGTAAGCTCAGGTTTTTTACCCTTTTTTGGGGGGAGAAGTTTTTACTGCATTTAGTCTAACATACAGATGAGCTTTCATGATGATGTAGGCTATAGCCTGTTAGGGTCAACTAACAAAGACAGGTGGCCTTTTCTTTTTGTAAAATATGAAAAGAACGTTCACCTGTCACTCAGGTCTTAATGTAAGTTCTAAGCAAGGGCAATGACCTGTCACTCAGGTCTTAATGTAAGTTCTAAGCAAGGGCAATGACCTGTCACTCAGGTCTTAATGTAAGTTCTAAGCAAGGGCAATGAATTTAGTAAGACTTGTCTCCAGTAATCCCCAGCTTTCCATGTTTTCTAATCAGAATAACTGCGGTTTCTCATTTCTTAATTGCCATGATCCAGCAACATCTAGAATATTTTCTACACAGAAGTTGTTAGTGTTTTTTCTGGAGTTCATGGAATAAGGAGATATCCCAATTTTTCTCTCTAAACTCCAACAGCATGGTAAGAAGCGGGCAAAGCTGCCTACCAAGGAGCTACCCCCGGTTGGCTTGGATCATGATGTGTCAGTCCTGCAGGGAGCCTTGGGGGAGGTCCATGTCTTTGCCCATGATGACGATGATGTCACTGTCCATCGTCATGACAGCCGGTCAGGAATGGTAAGCAGTGGAAGGAAATCCTGACGTCACTGTCATACATCATGAAGGTTAAAGTGTGGGAGTTGTGGGTGTCTGAGAAGGGGCTGTTCGTAGTTCTTAGAATTGCTACTGTTGTGTAAAGGGTCATTTTTGAAGCATAAAATCCCTTGGTGCTACATGTACCTACAAATACCTACAATAATAAAGAATCGACTTTTTTGAAAAACAGATTTTTTATTAATTTCTACAAGTTGAGGGAAATTACTTCATTGTAAGATCATATTGCATTGATTGTGTGTAATCATTCCAGACAATGTCAACTAAAGTCGGTACTGGAAGGACCTCTGCAGCATTGCCTTCCAGCCAGGAACCAAAATATAAGGTGAGACGGGCACCGAATATCAGCAGTATCGAACAACCAGGTACATGCCAGCAAAAGAATGATACACTGGTAGGGTTCAAGAGTTACCTCGTTTGGCTTTGCTGTTTCTCTCCAGAGTTTGCAGCCGGATCCCATCCTGTCCCTGCGTAAGATTGTCGGCTTTGGAGGATGCACAACAAAGGAGGTCAGACTGCTTGTTTTTCTTCCACCTTGCTTGGTGTATTCCGCTCTCGCGGCCATGCTCCCAAGACGCAGATCTATTGGTACTCTGAATGCGGTAGAATTGACTCTCAAAAGAGGGCCAGATTTTGGATGCTAGAAACGCCTCACTCCCAGACATGGAGTTATTTATTTCCGAATTCCTCGCAGTGCCTGTTCAATAATGTTTATTGCCAGCGGACCCAAGCAAAGAGAAATAAAAGAGGGCACATCAAAATTGAATATGTGTAGTTGCAATGAAGACTAATCATAAATTGTAGGCGTTACTGTCATGGATAGGTTTTCAGTTTTTGTAAAACCTGTAATTTTGTAATCATTATTTACTATGTAAGACGTAGTTAACAAAACAAGAATTTGGAAAAAATAATCGGTGAAGATTGAAATGACTCAGTCCTTATATTGATTTTTTTTTTGTGTTTTACTAGGCCTTATGGACAGCCAACGGCACCCATATTGTCTACCCCTGCCACGCAGTCATCGTCTCCATGGACGTCAAGTCTGGCCACCAGCGCTTCTTCATCGGACACACCGACAAGGTGTCCAGCCTGACCTTTGACCGGAGCACGACCCTGCTGGCCTCGGCCCAGACCGGCCAGCAGTCGGTGGTCCGAGTCTGGAGGTACCAGAAGGGGGAGTGTCTGGCCATGTTCAGGACACACGTGCAGTCTGTCTACTGTCTGAGGTGAGAACGAATGTACTTTCCAATCATTTCAAGTTGATCCAATCACATGCAATGCTGGACTGGCTTCATACAGCAGGGGTGTATTTTGCCAGTCAGAACCAAGCATTACGCAAGAATTTTTTTTGGTGCTCAGATTTTTTTTATAGAAAAATTTTAGAGGACGGACAAAAAACAGCAAAAAGTGTTTCCTATGGTCTCAAGAAAAACAAATAAGGGTCGTCAAGTCGGAGGGCGGAATACAAAAAAGTCTTTTCCCAAAAAAAAAAGATATTAATAAATCCTTATTCCACAAGTGATGGCTGCCGAAGACCTAAGCTCACAAATATGAATAGCAGAGAAGAAAAACCTTTTTTTTACAGGGGATCCAAGACTTCTCAAAATATAAAAGAAAAAAGTATTTTTTTTCCCGGTAGGTCGACGAATCCGAGCACCAACTTAAAAAAACCTCTCGCCTTTGTTTGGTTGATTCTCTCTGGTTGATTGCTTTCAGGATTTTAGCGCTTCATCATCGCCGGTAATTCATTCCCAATTAAAAACATCACCACAAAAAATCTCTGAGGAGTCACAAGCGAACCAGTTTTGGGTTGTGAGAAATTTGCTAAAGTACAAGAAATATTTGCACACCAGAATAGGCTTAACGGCCAGAATCAATATCCTATAATGTGCCCTACTTTTTTATTTATTTCTTTATGCATTGGGCAAAGAGCAAACAGAATGCATTATATATTATTGTGTAGTTTTGGATTTCATTGTGCAAGTGGTACCCTGGTAGTAGGTATTGTTTGAAAGCAGTCCGCCTTGAGTAGAAGCACCCCCTCATTGGTTGAAAAGAGCCATGTTGGTTGGAAGTCTTCATTTTGTTGGTAGCAAGGGGACTGTAACGCTTGCATTTCTTAGTCATCTGTGAACCAGCAAAGTTCAGTTCTAACCAAAGGAAGATCCTTTGCTAAGAAAATTGCGCCCTCTGTTGGTCCAGCTCCGGGCTCATAAAAAGTGTCCTGGAGTAAATGCATTTCTTTATTGCAGAATTTGTAACTCTGTTGATTCAAATGTTCTCATATGTTAACCACTTGATGCCAGGGTTTCCGGAACCAAACTCCTTGGGTTTATACACATAGCCAGGCTGCCCAAAATTGGACACAAGAGCTGGGCCTTGTAACAAAGGACTGAGGTGCCGGGAATTGCCAACATTTTTTTAGTTGTCAATAGCAGAGGCAATCGGTCATTGATTTTAATGATCATATCACTGTTTGTGGCATTCAGCGAAAGCAGATTGCCACTGGGGACAAAAGTGCTCCAGCGGTCCAGGGGTGAGTGATACAATACCGCTGCACGCTAATCTGGTTCGCATTTGAAAAGACGCCAGCAGTGTACTGCACAATTTGGGCTCTCTTTATAAGGCGGCAGGCCTGGCTGAAATACTCGGGTGTCAGTAGATGTTGTCTGTCAGATTAGAGTAGCCACCAAACAGTCATTCGTGTGGGTGTAAATGTCCAGTAAATGAGGTTATAAATTTTTGAAGAATTTTGAAAACGGAAAATCCTGAAAGTGTCAGTAGATGTTGTCTGTCAGATTAGAGTAGCCACCAAACAGTCATTCGTGTGGGTGTAAATGTCCAGTAAATGAGGTTATAAATTTTTGAAGAATTTTGAAAATGGAAAATCCTGAAAATTTCCCAGGCATACGCCATGCAATTTCAAAGTAAACGCGGCAGCATATGGTCAATATTTCTTCTTTAATATCTCAAGTTCTGGAGGCTCTGTCAAAAATAGTTCCATTGACTGTTTCAGATAATTTCATTTGTTTGAAAGAGTATAACCTTTAAAAATGCTGTCTTGAACATAAACACTAATTCTGATTTTTTCAAATCATTTGCCCAGTTTCTCCCAGAAAGGATCCGTGCTCTGTGGTGTGGGAAAAGACGGCCATGGAAAGAATGTAAGTTCAACTAGAAATGGTCACAAAGCAAAAAACTCTCTTTTACCATTCTTGTGTCCTTTCTAAGTTTTTTCCTCTGGGCATTCATGACAGAATTCTTCTGTGGATGCCCACTTTGTTAGCTCAGAACTATAAAGATCAATTTCTAGCGATGGATCTCAAGAACTGTATGCAGTTTCATCGGTAGCAAGTCCAAAAACATTAGGGGTGTCTTCAATATCTGAATGCGTCCGTTCGGAACATTCTTTCCCAGAGCAGAACCGCTGTCTGCTGTTCTACTGAACCACCGTTCCACACATCTTCTCTCCCTACCTGGTTGCATGGATTTCCTTCACACATAGGTCTATTCAAGAAGTAATTTGCCTTTCCATATTTTTTCCTCGACTGAAATAAACTGTACTTGAGTGCTGAGGTGTATACACAGACCAGTGATGTTATAATTAAACTCTGGGGAGTTTCTAAGACTAGTTGCAGCATTGGGTTGGAAAATGTTCTCCAATTTCTTATAGTATTCCATCGATGTGGCCTTTTCTCCCCTTCAGATGGTGGTTGCTTGGGACACTTCGAGGGTCGGCAAGGGAGGTGACATCTCCATTCTAGCCAAGGCGCACACTGACGTCGACATTGTTCAAATGAAAGTGGCACCGTTTGATGAAACAAAGTCAGTTGCCACAGACTTATTCATATCTTAAGTGTGTTCCTCCACACAAATGTAACCTCTTCAAATGAGATTGCATGTCTTGAAAATGGAGTGAAGCTGTTTTTTTGGTTTTGTTTTGCTTTTTTCATTTCTGTAATGACCTGTTGCTTTTACTCAATTTCATTTGGATATAAAACCAAACATGTCGCTAACATCTGTTTATTTATTTAGATTTAATCGATAAAAAGGAAAGTTGTATTGATTGTGGTTTCTTCTTGTGATGAAGAGAAGAGTTCAAGGAATCGATCTCATTTTTGTACTTGGTCCCCTCCACAGAATGGTGTCATGTGGGGGAGACAACGTCCGTGTCTGGCGAGTGAGAAATAACTCCTTGCGATCAGCTCCTGTCAACCTAGGTGACTTCCACGTGGCTGAGTTCACTGATATCTGCTTTGAAGCCAGCCAGCCGGGCTTGGAACCTGCTGACAAGTTTGTGTAAGTTACAAAGTGTGAGATTTGGACTCGATGTCAGCTGCAATTGTTGTGATTTTTCGGGGGTGTCTTTTTTTTCACTCTGTTTAGTTTGGCGTTGCGTTAACCACCCATCCAACATAAAGTAGAGTCTTAGGTAATGTTACTTACATTAGAGTTGCCGAATTTAAAGCATGCTTCCTTTGTGGTTGGGTATCCATCTCGAGCAGGAGCACCCCCTCATCTGTTGAAAAGAGCGTTGGGTCTGGAGTGTTCATTTTGTTGGTGGCGATGCGACCATGAAGCATGCATTCCTTAGTCATTCGTGAACCAGTGAAGTTAAGTTCTGACCAAAGGAGCCTTCGTTGCTAAGAAAATAGCGCCCTCTCTTGGCTAATATGCTTGGAACACAACTTCTTGTCACTGGGCACAACTTACATCCAAAATATGGCTTTCCACAAGGAACAGGAAATTTCAAGATTTTGCCATTTGTACCAATTTTTTCCTGTCTTCTGTCTTTCTGTTATAGATATGCCTGTACACGTTCTGGCCACATCTTTGAGATTGACTATAACCGTGTGTCTGTGGTACACATCCGACGATTGCTGCCGACAGGAAAGGAAGTCAGAGAGAAGCAGACAGTGCAATCAGGTTGGCACTTCACATCCGTAAATGGCATTAAAACGTATTTCATTCACCTCCACTCCTAATAGAAGGGTTCCCGTGGCCTGGAAAAGTCATGGAAATTTGTTTTCATTTTTTCAGACCTTAAAAAGCCATGAAATTTTGTAAAAATGACATTAGTCATGGAAAAGTCATAGAATGTTGTAAAATAACTGAAGTCATGGAAAAGTCATGGAATGTTGTAAAAATAACTAAAGTCATGGAAAAGTCATGGAATTTTTCAAACAGTGTGTGGTTTCTATTATCAGAAATAAGTGCACTTCTTATTTCGTGTTGTTATTATATTGCTTTTGTTAACCCATATAGGCGCTGGTATTGCCATCAATGCCATGTGCGTCAATGAATCCTTCTGCGTGACTGGCTCAGATGACGGATTCCTTCGCCTTTGGCCGCTGGATTTCAAGAATGTCTTTTTAGAAGCCGGTAAGAGCTGTCACCTTACAGTTATCCATGTTCTGTCAGAATAAATAAAAACGTGAGAAAAGCTGTAGCAAGTTGCTTACTGGCTAAAGTTACATGAAGTCTTCAAAGCGCTTTAATTGATAGTTAGGGTCTGTTTGGCTTTTGGGTGGAAGTTTTTGAAGGGAACTCTTTCTTAAGTTTTAAGGCAAAGTCAATTTAGGTAGTCGTACTGTATTCATGGCCTCCACTGCTAGTTTGAAGTTTCTGTGAAGCATGAAGTAGAATTTATGTAAGGGTTTAAACTTGGGGATCTTTTGTGCAGAGCATGAGGGCCCCGTGACGGCCGTGGGTATCACGGCAGACGGCCTGCGCATCCTGGCCGGCACGGCGACAGGCAACCTGGGCATGCTGGACATCGCCACCAGGAACTACACCACACTGATGCGGTCCCACACCGGCACCGTCCTCTCAGCAACCCTTGACCCAGCCAGGCGACAGCTGGCCACGGTGTCCGCCGACCACACCATCCGGATATGGAATATGGATACCTTGCAGCAGGTGAGTATTGGTTGCTGACACAGAGAGGCTGCATCTAAATTTCTTGGCTACAACTGACGATTACACATACCCCAATAGAAACACTGATTACCAGCTGTAGCCACTTCTCACTGATATGTGTTAATCCTAGCCATAGCCAGTAGATTCGGACGTGGCATTATCTGTGGCGAGGGCACTGAAGCAGATTTCCTCGATTGAGCTGTCTTGAAACCTGTTTCCAGTTAATGATCATTTTAGTTAGAGATGTTCGTTGCACTGAGAGCCTCTTGTGCACAGAGCTTGATTTTGATGCAGTGAGACGATTGCCATTATAATAAAACTCACGAAGCTGTTTATTCAGTTTCTGTTGGAGCTGCACATCTACATGAACTATCTTTTTTCTTCATTAAATTTCGCATTTTGAAACCCCCGCTTTCTTGCCAACCTCGCCATTTTCATCTTTCAAGAAAGAAAAATTTAGAGCATTTGTTATTTCTGTGATGAGTGGCCCTTAACCTTTGCTTCGTTGATTTTTGACCCCTTCAGACCTACGACTTCAGCTCCCCCCAGGAATGCCCCTGTGTGGTCACCTTTCACCCCTCCCTCCAGTGCTTTGCTTGTGGCTTTGACAACGGCTGTGTCCGTGTCTTCAGCATCGCCAACACCAGCCTGGTGGCCGAGATGCGGTAGGCAGAGGGGATGCTTGAAATTTGAAGATATTTTAAAATTGCACTTTCTTCTGATGCTAATGAGCCCCAAACTGGACCGAGAGAGAGCAAAGATTTCCTTGCAACAGAGGCTCCTTGGTTGGAACTGCACTTTGCTGGTTCACAAACGATTGAAATGCATGCATTACGGTCGCATGGCTACCAACAAAATGAACATTTGCAACCAACATGGCTCTTTTCAACCGATGAGGGAGTGCTTCTGCTCAAGGGGGAAAGCAAAACTCAGAGAGTTCTATTGAAACTAACCTGTTGAAGTTTTGGCATGAGTGTAACCATGCACAAATGCTTTATTCAAACTTTGTGCACATTTACTTATTGTTGGGTCAAGCAATCATTGTTTACACCAAATTCAAATATATATGCAAGTCTATGTGAGTTTTTAAGTTACTTCTGTGGGACACATGAGCTTGGTGGAGATCTTGCCGCTAGCTTGACTTTGCCTGTTTTGCATTTCCATGCAGCATCTGACTCGAAACCACAGTTGTACTGAAACGTTTTTTGGACTTGACAGTATTCATCAGTTAAAGAATGGTCTTAAGTCTCCCTTTGTTAGATCTGGTCACATTTTGTCATCAATACTTCACCAACAGACAGCACCGGGGCAAGATCACAGGCCTGGTCTACACACCCAACAGCCACTACCTCCTGAGTGCTGCTTCCCTGGGCTCCCTGGCCCTCTATGATGCCTCTCAGGAGGCCTACCCGTTGATGCGGTTGCTAGGTAACATGGTCGCCCGGGGGGAGAGGTACGGGCCTAGTGCTCTGGCCGTGAATGAGGACGGGAAGCATGTTGCATTTGTTGGGCCATCCGAATTCACGGTGATGGTTGTGGATGCGCGGTCCTTGGATGAGGCAAGTGTACTTCTCTGTTATTTGTAGTGAACAAACTATGCGCTCTTGTTTTAGTTACTTCAGTTTAATAATCTCATCGTTGCATCTGTAGATACCTTGAAGTGATTCTGTTAAAAGTTGTACCCTTTGAGGAGATATTGCAGGCACTCTATACCAGTGACAGTACTGCGTCGGGCATGCTACGATTGAAATTGTATGGCAACAAGCTCAGGTTGTGACATCTTAGCTGAAGGAGTATTCCTAACAACCTGGTTGAATAACACCCGCAACATGGCCAACTAGAAGCATGAAGGAAATGAAAAATATCTCTCCTGTGACAAATACTTGTATACGTTTTTAGTGTTCTGTTATCAATGCTTTCAAAACTTGGGAATTAGAAATGAAATTGCAGTGAGTAGCATGGAGGCCTCCCAAGTCATGCAAAATTGCTGACGTTTTCTCCTCAAGAAAATCAACTTGTGTATGGTTACAGAATTACGGCACAAGTATATCGTGCAGAATCTATAAACTCCTTTGCATGGTCTGACTCAAAGTTACATTGATATTGCACATGATCTCATGGTTGAGGGTTGGGTTTATAAGTGATGACTGTTCATCTTTTACTTTGTTGTTACAGGTGATGCGTATTGATATCACATCCATTGTATCGGCAGACACTGAGTCTCCCATGATAGACACCGCAGCAATGGTCCGCTATGCTCCACACAGAGCCAAGCAGCTCCTGGTGGCCACCACCAACTCCCACCTGCTCAGGCTGGATTCACGGACAGGAAGGCTCATCAACAAGGTTGGCTGACTTTCAGAACTATCAAGGGGTTTTTAGTGCTCCGTAATGCCAGATTTGCATTTGGGCTCAATTTTATCCCAAGTGTGAACCAGTCCGTTAGAGTGTTTAATTGACTGCTGGTTGGAAGAACAGTTCTTACGAAAAATCAGTGTGGTGGTACTGGTACTCATACTCGTCCTTGTACTTGAGTGCTTTTTCCTGTACTTGTACTCATACTCAAGGAAATGTACTCATACTCAAGGAAATGTACTCATACTCAAGGAAATGTACTCATACTCAAGGAAATGTACTCATACTCGAGGAAATTCACTCATACTCAAGGAAATGCACTCACACTCAAGGAAATGTACTCACACTCAAGGAAATGTACTCATACTGGAGAAAAAAATTCCCTGTACTTGTACTCATACTTATGGAAAGGTACTCTACTACAACACTGCGAAAAAGTACATAACGTAATCTCCGGTGAGGGCCTACTTTCACCGAAATACCTGATAAATAATTATTAGAATTAAGTGCTGAGCAGACATCAACAGCTACTGGTTAACTAATGGTTGGTTTGTGACCCACCCTCTGCCTTTACAAAATTTCCAGTTCAAATGAACTCTAGAAGACTGCTGTGAAATCTCACTATGAACATCTAACAAAAGAAGCTCTTTGCAATAACAATGGATGCTCATTGTTAGTGTACTGTGATTCTTTTGTGAGATGTTTGTCGTCTCTAATGGGACCCTGGCTTTCTTTTTACAATTTCCAAGTTATTGAGCAGACTAGTCTAACTGTCACCAGCAGTCGATGCATGCAGTCGATATAATAGAGCCAAGTTATCATTGCTCACAGTTTGGCTGCCGACTCGTTCTTAGGTGGAAACCAAGAACGAGCAATGTACATCACATTACTGCAGTCACAGGGCGGTCACTTTTTATGATGCATTCCAATCAACAGGTGTCCAATTTGCACCGGTCGGGTGTGACCGGCATGGAGGTGTGCTCGGACTGTCGCCACCTAGCCACAGCAGGAGACAAAGTCATCAAGATATGGGACTACCACATGAGGATGGACATCAACTTCCAGGTATATCTGAGGATGAGCATTCATCGTCAGGCTTAAGTTGCACAAAGTTGATTTTACTGAAATGAGGACATTCATTTTACCTGCAGCATGTAGGTGCGAGAGGAAAGCACCTTGACTTGGGAATTCTGCTGTGTGTGTTCAAATAACTCCCTTACTGGTGATGAATAGAGAATCTTGGATGACAGTCAAATACAGCCATCTCTGGCTGAGTTTGAGCGGCTTATTCTTGTATGTTTGCAAACGGCTCAATTTGTTGTTTGTGGGTTGACCGCCCGAATGCCAGTGACCTACAAACTGGTAGTGGCAAGTAACATTCAACATGGTTGTGTCCATGTACGTGTTTTGAGGGTTGTTTGGATAACTGAGCTGAATTCTTTACTATTTAAAAAGGAAAATTAATTTCTGTGTTACGATGGAAAATTATTAAAGTTAATTTTGCAAAACTCCTCATTCTCTGCGGCTTTGTAAGCCATCTTGCTATTTTTCTTGGGCTGTCCAATAACCAATATCTTTTTCTGTGTGTTCCTGTAAAACCGTGACAACAAGTTGATGTATGATCCTGTTCTGAGAACAGTGTTCTTGGGTCATGTTCCCGCCGTTCGAGCGCGAGACCAAGGAACCCATGTAGAGAACAGGCCGCCCTAACTCGACCACTGTGTGCCTGATATCCTCATGAATACATTACATATTTCTTCTTCTTAATGTCTGGAGCTCCATGTCTGGTGTTCCCCGTGAGCAGCCAGTGTTCTGGCCATGCGCCATAAAGCCATGCTTTCTACTGCTGAGGGAGTAGTCGTTATAGAGTCCATACTGTTATCATTGATGTAATAATTTCCAACAGGTGTTCATTGGCCACTCGGAGAAGATTCAGCAAGTGGCATTCACCCCTGATGGCCTGGGACTGCTCAGCATAGGGGAGGCTGTCTTCTTGTGGGACTTCTATGGCACCAGTCGGGATCACCCAGCACTGTGAGCATTGTGGGCTTCTTACATAATGAAGAGCCTGTCTTGTTGTGTCTTATTTGGGCCAAATGTCATGGAACTTTTGAAGCTTACAGATTTGCTGAGCGTAGAAATTTCCCTCAGCAGAATCAGGTTAACGGCCAAATTTCTACTTGATGGATGTTGATTTTGAATGGCTTTAAGCTGAATTGTTTTGATTAGCAACTTAAAAGCATTTTCAGTTTAGCAATTTTACTCGTAAATGCAATGGTCCCTGGTCTTACCTTCATTGACCTGATACTTACAAACCTTCTTGTCTGTTATGCTTAGAAAAGCAGTGTTTTTTTCTTAGACTGTTCGTGGTATAACAGACACTCTGACCTCAGTTACATATGCTGCTGAGGCAAATAAGTTTTCCATCGCATTGAAACATTTATTCTATGAGAACATTGCTTAGATATAGTAACACAATAACAGAAACTGTCTCCCCACTTGTGCCTTCACTAAAGTTGGTAGTAGATTGAACTTTAACCCTAACACTCCTCAGTCCTCCAACAGGTGAAGGATTGAGGAGGGTTAGGGTTAATTAATTTCTTTTACATAAATGAGGGGGGAGTCACTGCTTATTATAAAAATTTCATCATGTTTTATTTCTGTTTTGTTTGTTCTTAACAGAGGAACTACTTTAGAGACTGAACATTTTTTGAGCCAATCAGGTAAGTATAGCTTGTCCTGCGGTATTTCCATGAAGAAGTACGAGTGCCATGTCCACACAACTCTATCCTTGATTGTCTCAAAGTCTTGGATGTCTGTAAGGAACTTTGCTTTAAACTCATTTGCATCAGGTTTAGTAGACTCTCCCAACAACTAATCAGAAAATCCATGGGTTATAAATGAGTCGTATCAGTAATCGAGGCTCTCTGATAAAGATTTTTTTTTTCATTAAAGAAGTGTCTCTGAAATTGCAGGATCAAGACCGCAGCCACCGCGCAAAAGCCCCGTCCGCCGAAGTCTGGATATGACCGGCAGTTTACGTCCCCGGGACAAAGCCCCCATGCCGAGCTCTCCGACTAGACTTCTAGAGGCCAGTGACGCATCCACAGAGGACAAGGAGGAAGAGGAGGGCATCTCATTGCTAGGCGGGGTTGAGCGAGCAAACAAGGATGCGGAGACGGAGGTGGTCCTCATTGGGCCGGAGTCTGCGAGTCGGTCCAGTATGGAGGAGTCGAGCGTCACAGAAACAGTGAGTGCTGTCAGAGCTCGCATGTGTCTTTCATGACAGTAGCTTGTTTGTGCCAAAACAGTTGCTTTGTGTTTGTAGAGTGTGTTCGTTCCATGCTTGGACTGTTGATTCCTAGTGGTGTAGTCATAAATTCAAGTGAAAGGCTAATCTACCCACTCTGTGCAAAAAAAATAACCCTACACTGGCGAAGAAACGAGAGGCTGGTGGGTGACTCTCTCCACTTTTCACTCGGTACCTGACAGGAAACCCTTAAATCTGACTCAGGCTGGCCAGCCGACCTTGCAAGCTCGGTGGTTGAATGGTTAAAACCTCTGCACTGGTAAGCAGGAGGTATTGGGTTTGAGTCCTGCCCGAGTAAGCTTGTGAATTTGTTTGCAAGCTCTGAGACAAGCGCTGAGTATACGGTGTTATGAATCTATACGTCGGTGTGAGGGCAAAACCCGTCATTAAAATTAACATCTCCCCAGTGCAAAGTAAATCGTGAATTTAAACCTTTAGCTTCCATTTTAAATGGGTCACTCGCCAATGGCTTCCTGTCCAAAGGGATGCCATTCCTGTGTGAAAATGCACTTCCTCTTGTTGTCGCCTCCTGACTCACTAATTGGGTGTTCTGCAGTGCATGCGACAAGTTTTCCTATTTGAATGCACACAAGACAACAAGTGCACATGCATGAGAGGAGAGCGCATGAGTGCAGGGCAATGATGGGACATGAAGCCCCAGTGCTTTCACTTGAAATACTGATCCCTCACTGCCAAGCGGCCTATCCATACACAGAGCGCACTATTGAGAATGCACCTGACTACAATCGTGGCCAAATCTCATCGGGCCTCCAGCCCCCTGAGCCCCTCTCAATGTTGGGTCTCAGCGCGCGACTTGCGCTCCAGCTGGAGATGATAACATTGACCGGGGGAGTGGGGGACTTGCAGAGTCTGTGGTTATTGACATGTGCCCCAACCATTTTGTCTAGGATTGTAGGTGTAGGAAAAAGCACAGACACAACACAGTGATAATGATTCGTCAGGAAGGATGGCAGAGGTATAGTGTGACCGAGACCCAGAATTGTAAAAAATGTCACAAACAAACAGGCCATTTTCATTTCAATATATTCTGGCTTTGATATCTCGTACTCTCTGTAAAGCTGGTTTTCATTTGACTAATCAACAAATTAAACTGAATTTGGGTTTGGATTTTTCCCCCTGAAGGATGAAGCTCCACCGGTGGAAACCCTAGGGACAAGCCCACGCATCCAGAGACACCGCAGAGCAGAGCCAGGGATGGACCCCACAGCCCCACCCCTGCCAGTCCTTAAGCCGGCCACTGACAAAGCCAAGCAGACGAGGCCCAGTTGCTACAGCCACTTTGTGGCAAGGGAGAACCGCACACAGATGGCGCAAGTAAGCCAAGGTTTACCTCTAAACTTCTGCCAGTCATAGGATTTGAGCAGGAACTATTGAGGGTGCTGTGTAGCAATCAGTAAAGGTCGAGTTTGGGCGGTCTGTTCTTGACACGGGTTTCTTGTTCTCGTGTTCGAAAGGCGGGAACACGACTCAAGAACACTGTTCTCGGAACAGGATCACACACCACCTCCTCGTTAGGGTTTTACAGGAAAAACTCATGAGATTTTGATTTTTGAACAGCTGCAAAAGTGGAGAGGTGGCTTCCAAAGCCATAGACCATGTAGACAATGGGAAGTTTTGCAACATTAACATTAATTATTTTCGAAACACAGAAATGAATGTTCCTGTTTATATAGAAAAGAATTCAACCCATCCAAAACTTAACTCTCGAGTAACGTACATGGACGCCGCCATGTTGCATGTTTTTTGCTTCTTCCAGGCGTTCGAGCGGCCAACCCACAAATAACAAATCGAACTGTCCGTGAACATACGGGAACAAGCCGCCCGAACTCAGCCAAAGAGTCTTGTGGGAAAAACATGGAACAATCTCTACACGAGACCATTGACTAAGTAAAGTTTGTCAAATTTATGTGTATCTTTACCACATCAGTATGTATGTAGGTACGTTTATATATGTATACCACATCAGTACTCGCGTCTTGAAATGAAAATACACTCAGCACAGAACTGATAGATGGGGCATTGATAAGTTAAACTCTTCAATAGACCTTATATGTTAAGACAGAGTCAGAGGTTGTTCCTTGTTATTTAATTTAGTTACAGTGATTTTACAAAAGCTTTACTCGAGCTTATCCCAGAGAAGGAAAGAAGTACCCTCTTACGTAACGTCATTTGCATAAGGTCTAGATTTGTTTGAAGCCTGGCTACTTTGTCCTGTAGTCTTGTGATAGTCTTCTTTTCAAGCATGCATTTCAAGTTCATTCGGTCATATTCTCCCTTGATTTGTCAAAGGGACTTTCCCTACGTATCTGTCTACATCTTCAGCAACGTCGGTGCCTTGTAGAATTAAGAAAATTCAGTTTTCTGGACCAGTCCATGGCTGGGATTGTTGCACATCCAGGAAATCCTCAGTGTATTGCTACCTGTAGTGTAAATAACTGTCCATCCATTAACGTTTTTCTGAAAGATTACTGCACAGCGCCATCATTGGGGCCTTCAGAGTATGCTGCACCCTCATGCCGGGGTTTGTTGGTGCAGACATCCACATTTTTCAGATTGCTCTGTCCTTTTCCAGCGGCGGTATATAGCCCCTCCCAAGCAGGCTGGTATGAAACTGAAGTCGGTCCTTGGGTACAACGGCAATGGCAGAGGGAACCTGGTCTGGCACCCCGACACCGGGCTGTTTGCCTACACTAGTGGCTGTATAATTGTCATTGAGGACCTGCATACCGGGACCCAGAAGCATCTCATGGGTAAGACATGGTAACATGGTAGCTAATAAGTCTCAGTAAAGATTTAGGCTGCATCCAAATCTGTTGTCTAGAGCTAGGTCTGGGTCTTTGCTCCATTGGAAATGTGTGGAGAAGCGTAGACAATAGACCTAGCCGTAGCTCTGGAAGCCCGTTTCGGACACGGCCTTACTCTTAACCTACCACGATTCCTTTAAGTGGACTTTAACTTGATAGCCCTGACAATTTGACCACTGCTGTGCTGAACTCATGTGTTTGGTTTGGTAAAAAAATTTGGCATGGCAGTTGCACAGCTTCGAGAACCACCCCGCTTGGAAAGTCGAGTTTGGCATGGCAACAACCTTTGGCTCAGGATCGGTTACTGCACCATTGCCATCCTGTGCGATAGCGTCACAGTGCTGTTCTAAGTACCATGCAATACTTCTTGCTAAATACAAATGCATTAGAAGTTGGTACCACCGACATCAGTGGTTGTTCTGCCAAGTTGCCATGCACAAATATTCACGGCTGAACATAATTTTATTAGGAAAGAAATGCAAATAAATGCATTTCAATACACACCAAACCTCTTGCATATTATGACTGTCAGAGTCGCACCTGCTAGTTTAATAACAGGTGCGCATTAGCAAGAGGCTTAAAAAAAACCACAATTTCTGTTTCCCGTTGTAGGTCACGTGGAGGAGATCTCCACGCTGACACTGCAGCACGACTGCCAGGTGCTAGCCTCCGCTTCAGGCGCTAATGGGCTCGCCGCCAGCCAGATCTGCCTGTGGGACGTCCAGGGGGCGCTCTGCAAGAAGGTGCTGTCCTACCACGAGCATGACGTCATCTGCCTGGCCTACTCCAGGGATGATAGATTCTTAGTCTCAGTTGGTAAGAAAAAAAGTGGTCAACTTCAACGTTTAATTTTCCTTCTGGTGTTTCAAGCTACTTATTGTGAAAACTACAATAAGCTCGACTCTTGAAACAGAATTCCACAGTTAAGAACAAATGGTCTCCGCTTGGCAGTCTAAGTCCAGGCAAATGCGACAGACAGTTGTGGCGTAGGTCCAGATTTCCATGGGTAAATCCAGATCTAGATGTGACCTGTACTGTGAATTTATTTTGATCAAAGTTGTGCTTAAAAGAAACTGAGACCTGATTGGTGCGGCTGTCTGTAATTGTAAAACACTTTTGTAATGAAATGTGGCTGTACAGATGCGTGCGAGTTTGTTTCCATTGTGCAAAGTGCACTGCTAAACTTTCAGACGCACTTTTTTTGCAAGTGCCAGTTTTCTTCAGTCAAAGATTTTGCTGTATGACCACAATTTACAGTTTGTGAAGTGTAATATGGCTCACTTACATTTTGTAAATGCAGTATGATCCAAATCTTATGCCACGTATCCTGTGATGAAAATGTATTCCAATCCCCCAATTCGTTATTTCATCATCTTTTGTTTTTATTTTCATCAGCAAGAGCAAGTTTTTATCATCTGATTTGACAGTCTGATAAAAATGAACGTTACGTGGATGAAAAATGTTCAGAGTTCCTGTTGATTTCCATCGTGCAAGATTCAAAGGATTTTAATCTAGAATTACATTGGTGATTTCTGACTTATTTTGTTAAGTTGGGACACGGAATCACAGAGCACTTTGGTTTTGCCCATATCACCAGAGAGATGACCTTGAAGTGGAACTGACTTTGTTGATATTCCCTTCTTTTTCAAAACTTATCATCTGTCCATCTATCACCTTCCTCAGGTGATTACCGGGATTGTACCCTGGTGGTGTGGAGCACCCACGACTACAGCCTCCTGGCAGCCTCCAAGACGGCCAGACCCATCCACGCCCTGGCCTGGGACCCTTACACTACCAATGAGTTCTGCTCGGTCGGTGAGACGGGCACGTTGCTGTTCTGGCTTCTGGACGAGACCCAGGGCAGGTTCAGCCTGAACGTCCATGAGGCGGACGTGCCTCAGGACCTACTGGACTCAAAGCACATGGTAAGCCCACACACAGTTAGGTCACCTACTCAGTGAGGA